TTGTATAAACAGTGATTCTAAGGCAAACTGTATCATAGTAATAAGTAAAAATGATAAATAGAAAATAAGATGTAAAAAACTAAAAACTATAGAATAAGGCCTATCAACACACTAAATAAAACTATAAATGTAAATAGATATAAACAGTAAATAGATAATAGATAACATAAGACAAATTGTATTAGAAATGTAAGTGAAAATGTAACCTAAAATTAAAAATGTAAAAAATTAAGATAAAATAAGCTGTAAAAGCGTAACATGTACCTTGTATTTGAAATAAAAATAGTGTGTTAAGTCATTGAACTAGACCCGCATAGAAATAAGAAACAATAGAGAATAAAATAGAGTAGCTTGATAGATGGGAGTCCCACCCATAAAAAGAAATGATATGCATGAATGAAAGTTGGTATGAAGCATGAAAGTGCGAGAAGAATAACCGCGAGAACTGGTATGGAAACGAAACTATAGTGTAAATACAGACTCCAATTCAGTTGGAGGAAATAGAGAAAAAAAAAAAAAAAAAAAAAAAAAAACAAGGGTCGATAGGAGGACCCCTGCTGTGGAATATCTTACTGGATCCCCTACTGCATTAGCTGGAGAGTGGGGCGGTTTACGTTCAGGCATTCGCGGACGATGTGGTGTTGGTTTTCGATGGGGGTACGGCTCTGGAGATTGAGAGGCAAGCCAATGCCTCTCTCGAGCATGTGCGGGAGTGGGGGATCGGAATGAAGCTGAAATTCGCACCGCACAAAACTTGTGCGATGGTAATCACGCGGAAGCTGAAGTTCGATCACCCGCGCCTCAGCATGGGCGGGATAGACATTGGATTGTCAAAGGAAATCAAAATCCTGGGGCTCACCATTGATCACAAGCTCACTTTCAACACACACATAACAAATGTATGCAGAAAGGCGATCGGAATATACCAAAAGCTGGCACGAATGGCTCGGATTAGCTGGGGGCTTCACCCCGAGGTGATTCGAGCTATCTATGTCGCAGCAGTAGAACCCGTAATCTTGTATGGCGCGGGCAGCTGGTGTGCCGCGGCAAAGGGGCTTGGTGTCCGAAAACAACTAAACGTGGTACAGCGCGGATTCGCCCAAAAGCTGTGTAAGAGCTATCGGACGGTCTCTCTGCACTCAGCGCTGATCCTGGCCGGTTTGCTCCCTCTGGACCTTAGAGTTCGCGAGGTGGCTTCGCTTTACGAGGCCAAGAGAGGGGTGGCCCAGTCATGGTTGGGAGACAGAGAGATCGAACGAATGACTCCAGCTATAGAGATGCCACACCCCGCGGAGCATGGGACCCTGGAGTTCAAAAGTTTGGTAGACGAGGAACAATTAAAGAGTACTATTAAGACAGAGGTGCGCATTTTTACGGACGGGAGCAAGATTGAGGGCCGGGTCGGCGCAGCGTTATCCATTTGGAATGGCGAAGCCGAAACCAGGGCCCTCAAACTTGTTCTCTCATCCCATTGCACCGTCTACCAGGCTGAACTTTTGGCCCTATGCAAAGCGGCCAGTGAGGTTCTCAGGCGAGGCGAGACCACGTTTGGCATCTTCAGCGACAGCAGAGCCACACTCCTGACGGTCATTAACTGTCATGCCCTCCATCCCCTGGCGGTAGAGGCCAGAGGCGTCATTCGGCAAGGCATGGCCCAGGGTAAGGAAATATCCTTATTCTGGGTCAAGGCCCACGCGGGGTTGGCGGGCAATGAGCGAGCTGACCAGCTCGCCAAGGAGGCGGCTCTGGAGCTGAAGAAAGCACCGGACTACGGTTTGTGCCCTGTTTCATTCGTGAAGCGTGGTCTTCGACAGGCCACGCTTGGCGAGTGGAACAAGAGGTACAAAGAGGGCGAGACCGCCTCCGTTACCAAGCTCTTCTTCCCCTGCGCACTGGCCGCATACGGCGTCGTTCGTAAGTTGGAGATCGCCGGCACTACAACTCAGCTATTTACGGGGCATGGTGGGTTCTCTGAATACTTGACGCGATTCAAATGTAAAGAGAACCCATCATGCATTTGTGACCCGAATGTCGACGAAACGGTCCCCCACCTGATCGTGGAGTGCCCTGCCTTCGACAGGCAGAGGTTTGACGTCGAACAGGCACTAGATACTAAATTAAAAATTGAAAATTTGAATAAAATAGTGGAAAGTAAAAATAGAAACTTGTTCATAAAATACTGTACAGAAATAATAAAAATAGTAAATAAAAGGAATAGAGTTTAAGAATATATGTTACAAAATAATATTATATTATTGTTGTTAACCATATAGTAAGATAGCAAGTAAGTAGAGTGTAAGCTGTATAGTATAAAAATGTGTAAAATATTAAAGTTGTCATAAGTTTGTTTAGTCGTAAGTGATGTACAACAATAAGTATAGCATAAGTATCAATGTCTAAGTGTTAAGCCCTAAGAAACTAGAATTATTAGTATAACAATAGTATTAATGTGTAAATAAAAACTGTCTTGAAAAAATTACTTACCTGCTACGAAACTAAATAAATAAAAATAAGCTTAGTTAGAATTACAGGAATCCCACCTGGACAGAATGAATACAGAGTGAATGTGTGGTATGCGGAATGAAATTACGAGAAGTAGCAACAGCGAGAAATTGTATGTATGGATTGACTAGCGTAGAATAGGCTCTGAACAGCATCGGAGGTGCACGTATAAAAAAAAAAAAGAAAAAACCTAACCCAACCTGAGCGATGGCCAGTTCGGCTTCCGTCGCAGGAGGTCGACAATCGACGCCGTATCCCGACTGCGGGACAGCTAAAGACTTATGTAGGTTACTAATAATTTTAATAATTTTTACAACTTATACAAATTTATTTAGTATAGTTTTAGTGTAGTTTATTATTATTCTCTTTGTTTAAACTCTCGCTATCTGATTTTCATTCTAAATCTTAGACTAACACGTGTGTCCTTTACAACACACTAGACAATTGACACAAAAATGTTCGGATTTAGAACTCCAGCCAAAAAAAGCTATGGACACGTCTCTTAATCTAACATTTTTTACTGCACCAAATTCAAACGGCACCAGAAAATCATTTTCGATTTCAAATTACGAAACGAAAAAATTGGAACAAAATTCAAAACGCTATATCTCCGGCACCACTGCTCCAATCAGAACAAACGGGGTGTTTAGAAACTAGCCCGCGAGACCCTTAACATCTACGCTATCGGCGCGACTCTAGGTAGAGCCGTTTGGAAGTAGGTTTTAGGTAAGCTCCTAGGGACTTAGGAAATAAATATAAATTAAGTTTTATAGATAGTAGTTAGAATTATAAAATTAACCAGCATACGAAAGTGGTTACTAGCATAAGTGTACTGTGTAGTAACGGGGACTATACATCCCACAACACTCAGACAGTCATGCCGAGCGGGATAAAACGGCTCTACACAGAGCATTTTTTTTACTTTATTTAGTTTAAGTTTTTTTAAGTGACAGGGACTACAGACATTCCAAAGCACTGACAACTTTACTAAGCAGCGACGAACGGCTCTACATAAAATTTTGTTTTACGGTTTGATTTTTTTATACTTTTACCATTATTTTATTTTTTAAGAGCATTTCAGACGGTTAACAGATACTGTTTCTGCATAAAAATAACAGGTTATACATACATACTGCCCTATGGAATCTCTTGAAGACGTGTGCTCCGGAGTTGGCACTGATTTTTCGACTCTCCTACTCCCAAGGCCTGGCCTCCCGAACTCCTGGAAGATAGCGTTTGTGAACTCGACCCCTAAAAAGGTGACCTCTCTGACCCGTCCAACTACAGGCCCATAGCAATAACTCCATTGTTCAATACTACCGTATGTGGCTCACAGGAATAAGATATATATTTTACTTTATGTACAACCAAAATTGTTTCAGATTGGGGCCGACTAAATCTAGTCCAATTTAACCCAAAAAAAACACAGGTTTGCGCGTTCCCCGCTAAGAAGATACCATTTGTCGTATCACCTCGGTATGAGAGTAACTGCGTCAACCAGTATCGGAATCCTAGGCTTCGCCATATCGAGTAAAGTCCAGATTCGAGGTCACTCAGAGGGTAAGGTCTAATTGGCCTCGAAGAAACTCGGTGTGTTGTGCTGAACAGATCAAGACAGTATTACACTCCGGCCTACCGCCTTTAGCTCTATAAGGCGCAAGTCCGGCCCCATATGTAATACTGTTCTTATCTCTATGCAGGGACACCTCTAATGCGGTCCAGAGGGAGAAGCTGGTACTACCAGCTTCTCCCTCTGGACCGCATTCAACGAAGAGCGACTCGAATCGTCGATAGCCCAAATATCTGCGATCGGGTCGATCCCTTGATTGAAAATTGAAATCCTTCTTTATTTTTTGGTTCAAGTAGGTGCCTCGGTGCGTCTCAAATGACATCTTTTGACGCGAAGAAAATTGTTAAAGGGTCATTTATGACCACTTTTAAACTGCATGGTCAAGTTTACAATTTAATGGAACCTTTAGTTGGTACTATTGAAATTGAATCATATTGGTATATGATTCAAAATGTAAGTATAACATAATGAAAATATTTAATGAGTACTTAATTTTTTTTGTGGTAGTATCAGATTCAGAATAGTTTAATTTGTGCTGCCAGAATTTATCATGTCACGAATTCAGTTAGTTCGTAATAATAGCTAAAGCTAAATTTCACACACACGAAGTAGTGGACACAGCTAGTTTAGAAAAAAGTGATTGTTCACGAAAATTGTGTTTACCTGTCCTACATACCTTGTAGTTTAGCAGTGGTATCATCGGTCAGTCGCCAGTCAGCCACTCTTTAATTACAACTGCACAGCTACAAAACACGTTACAAACATGAAAGTGAAAGTTATCTATCCATGTCGGTAGAGGCTTTTGCAAAAAGAAAACTATTCGAGTAGTGGAGTAACCTTTATATTTACAAGGTTGTATATTCTCAATGGTACACAAAAAGAGTTCTTAGACATACATAAATGCTAACGTCTTTCTTTTCTTATAAAGCTAAGACGATACTGTATCGGCGAGCGGTCGAATGAGTCTCGGTGTGCGCGGCATTTGAATGCCGTTGCGTAACACGCCAACCTCGTGGCCGTGGGAGAGATGCGGCGCGGGGAGGGACGCGGGGAGGGGCGAGGGCGGGGGCGGCTCGCGGCGCCTGCGACGCACTCTGCGACGGCGCGGACGCAACTCCCGCTGCTCGCTACACTCCTCGGTGCCGCAGTATTGCTGCAGCAACATTAGCGCCCGTCTTTTTCGCTCACTCAGCTCGTCGCCATCGTCGTGTTCTCGGGCGCTTTCGGAAGGGGTAAGTGTTTCGTCGACACTGGCGTGGACCTCGTTGGATTCGCGATCAGTGGCCGGACTGACGCGATCGCTGACCGTGTTGGAGCGGTTGGGATCGCTCATGCCGAACTCTGGTGCCGAAGCGACGCCGACGGTGCGGCAGACGAAGTCGACGTCGTCGCCTTCGACTCGGTGTGTCTCAAGATCTACATGAGATGGTACTACACTGAAAAAGAAATAATACCTTCATTAAGTACTGTAAGTGATTTACTTGATTGTACAGAGGTGTTCGGTTTTTGTTTTAATAACCATGTGGCTGGCGTTTTCTAAAGAGTTCACCCAATGGCAGAATGTACCTTGCATATCTTCTGCATTTCTAGCGGCTAGAATGATGTCATCCCCATAAATACCAGGGAAGTGGAGCCTGGATTTCTTTCGTTACAAGATCCATCACGAGGTTAAATAAAAGTAGACTCAGTGCTGAAAATTTATTGACTGAAGAACCCACTGTGAATTCTCGGCTCAGACCAGCCACACTCCTAACTTTCGTACGTACATACCTGTAAATATCTTGCATGTTACGTATATAGCACACAGAAAGCTGTTGTGCCCTAACGTCCGAGGCACTCGGTCAAAAGCCTTTTCAAGGTCTATAAAAACCAGATGCAGGTCGTCCCAGTTCGGTTCAACCAAAATTTGGGTTGGTGTTTGGTTTGGTATTGTAACTGACTGCGGATTTTTCTGATTTTCAGGGGATGGGAGAAAGTGTAATGCCTCTATAATTTGCGCATTGTGTGACACTTCCTTTGTTCTTATAGAAATGCATAAGGTGACTGATTCTGGCATTTTCTTAGTTCGAAGGATGATATTGAAAATCTTAGTCAGCCATTCTATGCCTGTCAGTCCCAGCAGTTTCTGCAGTTACACCATTCATCCCAACAGATTGGTCATATTTCATCCTTTTCACAGCATTAGTCACCACCACAATTTTATGCACTGGTCCTTTCATCCAAACATGTGTGCACTTTATGGCCATTTTTAAAGATTATTTTAGTGTCTTAAAAAATCCTCCATCTCAGTCTGCGCTGGCCCTAATACGTTAAAACAGCGCAGTGACCCCAGTTTCAGTAGAATGCGAGCGCACACAGCAAACTACGTTTAAGTAATTAACTTCAGTTTCCTATTTCCAGTCAGATCTTCCTCTACCTAAGTCTCCCTTCTAAGAATATCTCGTACTTATACTCACTCAACGAGGTCGTCCGGGTGCAGGACGGCGAGAGGCTCGTCGGGCGGCAGCAAGTGGCCAGCGCTGAGCAGCGCAAAGCGCGGCGGCAGCGGGAACAGCGCCCGCAGACGCCGCTGCAGCCAGCGCACGCGCCGCCCGCTGCGCACGCACATGTACGCGAGGGCGCGCTCGTCACTGAAGTACTTCTTCATGCTAACCCGAACACGGAACCGCGTGCCCGCATCGCCCGACCGATCTTGCGACGCTTCTACGGATCCTTGCCGTTTCATTGTAGAACTTGGATTCTTCACGATTCTGGCGTTGGGTCGTTGGTGCCCCGTACAACTGGTAAGTCAGATGTTAATGTAAGCACCTCTGGTAAGCATATATATATTAGATTTCTGTCGGAGTGGAGACCATAGAGTAGAACGTTTTTTCTGCAACAATTGTGAAAGCACTGCGCTGGCTACAAAAGGCTCTATTAAGTTTCATGAAGTTTGTTAATTGCAATATTTTCTTAAAAATTATTGAATTTATTCAACACTACTCATGACTTTAAAAGACCAATAATTTTTTTGCCTAACTTTATCAATAATTTTGATAATTACTTTACTACATGCAACCATACTAAAAGGGACTTAATAAATGTTGTACAACATATAATACATAGGTACAAACCATGAAAATGAACAAAGAATTAAAATGTTTACAAATATTGAATGATGTTCAAGTTACCTGTGAGTGCTACATATTTAAAAAGTAAGATGCTTTTTTTTCAAATTCAAACAGTATTGAATCAATATTAAAATGTGTTTCTTTCTATGAAGCTGACATTTGCAAAATACAATGCAACAGTAGAAAATTAATTGTCTATCTAAATGTGTAATTTTACTATTTTAAATGAAGTAGGCATTCCATATGCACTAAGGGCCCTTAATTTAGTTCATTGGAACTTAATTATCTGTAGGAACAACGGATAATTTTCAAATTATAAGTACATATATTTCCGTGTGGCGACGGATTAAGAATATGTAGTGTCACCAATCCCGTGGAAGTCGTAAGAGCCGACTAAGAGAACTAACTACGCAGAACAACAGCACTGTAAAGAGAAGGAAATCTTGAAACAAACCCTATACCAACCCGTCTGGCCAGTGTGTTATAGTAGGCCAAAACCTCTTTTCTAAAGAGAGGCTAATGTCCGGCAGTGGGCTATTGAAAGCCATTGATGTGAAATATGTATAAAAGCTAAAAACTTGAATCAAAGTAAACTACACACAGAGCTGATAAATGACACACAACACCAAGTTATGTGTATATTCAATGTTACTGTCTCAGTTAAGTATAGTAGTGAGGATCACCTTGTAGTTATAACAGTGACAAAGAACTGCACAAATTCAACTACTTTTAATGATTTAGCATTTATTTTGCAATACCCTATTCTGTATAATATAATAGATGACTCTTAAAACGTTTAGTTTGATTTTATTGTAAACATGTGGTGCCCATGTGGTATATAGTAACAACCCTCCGAAGGCTAAGTCAGTGGCTGTGGATTTGATTTCCATCCAGGACAGGGAATAAGTACAATCCTTTTGTTCTAGGTCTAGGCGTAAGTTACCCCTATGTCTGTGATTAGAAATTTATAAATGTATTTTTCTGCTCATTGAAGATTAGACTGTGGGATATGCTAATATTATTATGACTTAACATTATAAAGTCAAAGTCAAAAAATCTTTATTTCATCAAAAATTCTCTTTTGTGGACTACTAGTAGTCACACACACGAAAGCTACAATCTGTTTTTTCATATATATACTTTGCAGTATCAAGTAGTCTCCAAAGAACTTTTGGAAATCTTATAATGCAATAAATTTTGCAATAACATGGGTCTTAAACGGACAATGAAAACTGATAAAATATTTGCACAACCTTATATGTGGTGAAGGGATTGCAATGCATATTCTAAGCTATAGTCTCCTATCTTCCTCCAAATTGCCCAAGTGTGAACCTTGGGTTGCATCATGCAACCGTAGGTCATACAATCACCGATCATAAGATTTGCAGTCTGAGCAGTAAACTTTGAGGAAGAGTGCCCCACAAAAGACCAAAAATGGTAAAGCAGCAGTAGGCTTTTTTGTATGTAGGTACCCTTATGAATCTTGTATTCGCAATAAAGTTTTATTATAACCAATACCAATAATAATAACAACCATACACGTTAGTGAAATCCAGCTACCAGCAATATTTTGGATCAGCAGTTAATAAACCGTCAGTTGATCAAAATACTAATAATATAGGTGCCTATTTAGGTTTTGTTAAGCTTTCAGTTCAAGTTTACTAAGCAAATATGTTGCAAAATCTCGTTTTATACTTATATTTACAGTGGTTTTTATCATGCGGAGTAACGAAAATCCCACAAGGCACAAATACTAAACTAATAAAATGTATTGTATTACTGTAAACACCTAAACACAGTAGTAAAATTTCTTCAATTTACTTTATACCGCACCGGTACAGTACACCACAGGGGACAGTAATACTATTAATTAGATTCTTGTGACACTGACAGACGCTAGTGATTTCACGTAGCTAGCTGTGTCTAATCTGTTATCAAGTGATGCGATTATGTGGTCCTAAAGGTTCAATCCGTACATACAACCGTACATCAAAATAGCGGTGCAGCAGCAAGTTAACTACCGATCCAATGAAATAAATTGTTATTATTGCAACAGAAGAGACAACGGACAATTTTTTTCAATTTTTCACGACGGCAAGTCAATATATATATGAAAATATAATACATGTTGACTAATAACAATAACTGATAAAAAAAGGAAATAGCCAAAACAAAATAAAGAGAAAAAAATGTGAGCTAGTTAATAATTTCACGGTGTTTGTGGACTATGAGAAAGCTCTCCAGTGGTGCCAAATAGACTATTGGTACATCAAAGTGTTGAAGTGTTTGTACGAGAATAGTACTATCTCAGTCCCTTTAATAGGATCAAATCTCGATTTGCTGATGATATAGTCGTCATGGCTAAAACTATGTAAGACCTTAGCACAATGCAAGATGGCCTTAGTCTGGCCTTTAAACTAGTGGGTTTTAAAATGAACATGGATAAACCGAAAATTATGTCGAACGCCCATTTCGCACCCATTCCAGTGAAACCTAGAAACGCCACGTTCGAAGCTGTCTATAGGTCCAACTTCGAAAAAGAGGTCAATCGTCGAATCCAACTTGGCTGGGCAGCGTTATTGAGGCTACGTGTTCAGGGCACCAGGGACTTCGGGGCACCAGGGACTTCCTTTCTAGGGTATGCCTGGTTCCCCGGCTATTAGTACCCGAGACGGCGTGCGGTTTTAGTCGGTTCGTGTCCGACATACCGCCGACAGGTGGTATCCGAGGGGATTTGAGCACGGAAAAAAAAAAAGGGAGGCTACGTGATATTTCCCCGTCCCAAATACAGAATAAATCAGTGTCACAAGGAAGAAGTCCAAGGATGGGGGCAGCACAGGGCCGGTTGTCGTGGCGAACCTTGGGGGAGGTTTAATTCAGGCCGTCTTTCAGCTAAGATGATGATGAGATGCAAGTATAATTCGATTATCGAATTGTGTAAAATGCATTTAAAAATGGTAATAAAGTAAAATAAGGAACGTGTTTTACCTATAAATATGATGATTTAAGTCGTATAGTTGACTATTTCTACTCAAATCAACATTAAAAATGATTGAAAGAAAAGTGGAAAGTCGATTCTCTCTGTCTATTTTGAAACTTGCCACCCCACTACCTATTTTAATATTTTTAATGTTTTACAACACTAGTTAGCTATGAATTGAGTTGATTTGTTAATTTTGATATTAAATAGTTTATTTTCTCAAGTGGTTTAAGTTTTATGTGGTCAAATCTGTTAATTCGTGCCTGCACTGTATATTTGTATATGAGCATATCAGTTCTATCAGTGTTCGAGTTCATTATTATGTTGATCGACCGTTACAGCTTCAAGTCATAATTGAACGAACTTTTACCAGAACCCGCAGATAAGTGATGCTGATGATATCTCCAAAGTGTCGTAGCTAGGCTTGAACGGACGAAGCAGCAAAAGACGTAGCTGCGACGTCATGTCGAACGTGGAGAACGTGTGCCCGCAGGTTCTACGCGGCGTTTCGCGGGAACTGCGGCGTCTGGCAGCCAATCCTCCTGCAGGAATTAAGCTCGTGCTACGGGACGATGATCTCACCGACGTCGTCGCTCATATCGAAGGCCCCGGTACTATATCTTCTTTTTGTACCTAGATACACTATCACACTTCGAAACGATTTCGTAGGAGTGGCCAGAGGTGTTAAATACTAAAGCACCTCATGTCACTGCAGAATAAGTGCAATCCCTGTTTCAAAGTCACATTCGCCACTTAACATGTTATACGTTAAGTGTACACATAATATAGGTACCTACAATTATAGCAAATGCAAGTAATTATTTTTATTAACCAGTTTACTAGTGTTCTTTTTCACGGTAACGTTAAAATTATTACCTATCGGGCTCACACAGAGTGCCATCGCGTCAGTTATAATTAGTTGCAAATAATGATGAAAAAGGGAATCAGTATGAACCTACTAGACTAACTAGATTTCTGACTATTGCTGTTTTATAATAACAGATTTCTTTTTAGTATCCTTAAGATCTTGCTGCTGCTGTCAACTTAACAAATTTCATTTGCTTTCAATTCAGCTGGATTCAAGTTCTTTCAGAATTGGATGTCAATTTCTCTGCATTATAAAGAAATATCCAATGTTACAATGTATGTCCTTGTGGACAAGGTAAGCGTAAAGACTGTACGACTGTAAGACTGCTGTATTTATGGCTGCAGGGGCTTCTATTTTAATTCTGACAGTCATATCAGAAGACATATGAGTCTTAAATGTTGTGCTGGATTGTGAGCCTTACTAAACTACTACTCTCTAGCTAATTTTCAATTCAAGTCCCTTGTTTGTAGTAAGTCAGCAGTTCTTTTCTTTGCTCAGACATTCCCCAGTCCCAGCGAATGGCTATAGCGAGCAATAAACCTACTCTACTCTATATTTCAGCGGATACTCCTTACTTCGGTGGCATATTCCGTGTGCGGCTGGTTCTGGGTAGAGAGTTCCCAACCGCTCCCCCTCGCGCTTACTTTCTGACGAAGCTGTTTCACCCCAACGTGGCTCCGGACTCGGGCGAGGTCTGCGTGAACACTCTGAAGCGCGATTGGCGGCCGGAGCTGGGCCTGGAACACGCGCTGCTGGCTGTCAAGTGCCTGCTCATCGCGCCTAACGCCGAGTCTGCGCTGAACGCTGATGCGGCGGCGATGCTGCGCGATCGCTATGACGACTACTTCGCGCGTGCCAAGCTGCTCACCGACATCCACGCGCGCCCCGCGTCTAAGCCCCGCGCCGCGCCACCCCTCCGCTCTTCGCCGCGCCGGGTGAGTAAAACTTAATATTAAAATCCTCCAAAGAAAGACTATGTACTCATGTAGCAATACAAATATAGCGTAGTACCTTTTCCGACTAATTTTTTTAATAAGTTTCTTTTTAGTCTAAAATCTGTAATTTTCCGTTTCCCTAAAAAGTCTCTAAAAAGAGGTATTAACAATATTACAAGCCAATATCGTTGTTACTGGCAATTTTGATAATTTTTGAAAAAGTGTCAATTAATAGACTAAATAACTACCTTGAAAAACACAATTCCATGACAAGTAAACTCATGTTATTAAGAACTTGAGGCCAGTACTTGAACCTCTGTTGATGAAGCAAATATATCATGCACAATGTCAGTCACTCACAAAAATAAATAAATAAATATGAATAAAACAATAATGGAGTATTTTAAGATTGCCCAGAGAGCCATACTCAAGATTTGCAGTAATAAACGGATCCTAACCGTGAGACAGTTGGAAATGTATTTTGAAGATTTTCATGGATATATAATATAATATAATAATATATATAATATATAATTCACGGTTGTTAAAGAAATGTAGTAAATTTATAGTATGTAAATCTCTGATAGGTTCCAAACAAAATTAATGGCAGTGTTTTACCTGAAATAAAACACATTAAATGCTTACCTTATTTGAAGCTTACTAGATTGAGAGTGGCGTCTTCGTTTCCTTCTCTCTGTAGTGCTGTTGTCCTGCGTACTTTACTCCCTTAGTCGGCTCTTACGACACCCACGGGATGAATAAAGATGGTGACACTCTGTATTCTTAATCCGTCACCACACAGGTATTCGCAGGCTACCCGCTGGAGCGTCTATGCCAGCTTGTAATAAGAGCGATTTGACCCAACTAGCGATAACTGTACGAGAGGCCACCTTAGTTTTACCTCTAAGGTTAATAAACAGATTGACAAGACCGCCTAGCTGTCGTTTTTCCTTTAATATAGTAATACAGTGCTTAATCCAAAATACTGAATCTAAGTTTTTAATTGTTGTATTAGTGATTGACTTCAAACCCGAATGCCTATAGTTAATTCATTCCGTTTTAGATCCAAACAAAGGCCATAAAATAAGACGATCATTTGACCCAAAAAGATGTATTGAATCGACTGCAAGTAAGGTTTGGTCATGGACTCGCCTGCATGAACAGAGGAGTAATAATGTCGCTGTATGTCTACAAACTGCATATGCATTACTTTTATATATGACATATCTTCCTATGTCACTAGTTTGTCTACATCACAAATTGTGGGTTTCTTCATCACTGGCTTCTTCAGAGTGATGGACTTAAGTATATGAGTGACTAAGATGTGTGAGTTTAGTCTACCGGCGTCCTCAGCGTTGCATAAAATGCAAACTACGGACTTATGTAGCAAAATTGTATTAAAGGCTAACCCTTCTACGATGTATAGATCTACCAAAAACCGAGCCAGCTTCTGGTCAGCCGGTTGGAAGGGGTTTACCCCATGCTTCGTGTTCCAAGTTAGCCATCTGTTCCAGACTACTATATACGTCTTCCTCGTGGATGGGCCCCAAGAAACCAATAACAGCTCTACCTGATCATTATTCCATTGTTCAAGGTTTTGAGTCCACCCCCCAATATTTCCATATCTCTAATGTCATCTCTTTTACTCTTGGCGGTGGTAGACATGTAGCTATTAGTTATAGATGTAGATTCTGGATCATGAACGGTGGGGCTATAGCACGGGCTTTCACGTCCACTCTCCAGAAAACTTGTTTCCACCATGGTACTAATAAAAGTTATATTTCCGAGGCCGAGTTGAGATGTGCTAATACCTTGGGAACCAGGTAAGGTGGTGGAAAGACCTAGGCCAAGGAATAGTTCCATTTCTGATAGAAGGCATCGTGATACATCGCTTGGTTGTCGTTCAGGTACAGTGATACATAATTCGCTACTACTTTTGCCTGTTGCGACGCAAACAGGTCTATCACAGGAACCTCGAATCTTTGAAATATTTTCTCTGTACACTGTGCTAAGAGGTGCCACTCCGGTGGGTTGCGGTGACGAGATAGGTGATGACAGTTGAATATTCCTGGTAGGCGTTGCATCTTCAGGCTTACCTGGTACTGGTCTAGACGATGAAACACTTCTTTTGTTAATTGAAGTAATGGAGCGGACCTGGTCCCTCCCGCGTTTCGCAGAAAGGCAATAACCGTCTTGTCGTCGCTTTGAACTAGCACGGCCCTGTAAAAGAACAGACTCTCGCCTTTGTATTGCCTTCAATATAGCTAGCATCTCTTTTTGATTGCAATGAAGGTCCTTCTCTTCATTGCTCCATGTCTCCGACAGTGCAAGGGCATCGAGTTAAACCCCCTCACGCTAGGTCTAATGCATCTGTAGTCAAGAAGTGTTTCGGCATTGGTTAGTGAACAAGAGAGGTGCGGCGACAATTTTGCCACCACCAATTGAGTTCTTCTTTCAATTGTATGGGTAGAGTTACACTGACAATTTTTTTTTCCTAACTGCTTCAGGAATACGAGTGTATCCCGAAAATGAAGTCGGCCCTTTGGTACGGCGACACTGCCAAAGTTTAGTAAGCCTACAAAACTTTGTAGCTCTTTTAAGGTCACCATATGCTTGTGTAAAAGGTTCGACACGCTTTCTTTTATTTTTCAGATCTTTTCGTGTGGTAATGATCACTCGTTCAGCCTTGGGTTCCATTTGATACCCAGAAAAATCAAGCTTTTGCACGGGAGTATGACAAATTTCTGATAACTTATTTGCCAACCCAAGTAGGTTAAAAGATTTAATACTAGACTTGCAACGAATATTCGGTTACTATTCGGTATTCGGCCTATTCGGCTGCTTTTATTATATTCGGCCGAATACCGAATATCTACATATTATTCGGCCGAATACCGAATACTTAAATAATATATTTTGTCATTGAGAAATAATTGGTAAAATGAAAAATTAAAATCGATTGATTACGTATATATTCATATTTTCATTTCTGTTATAATCATTTAAGTAGTCATTGGTGCATAACACAGGTACATAATCATCTTTTGAATAGGAAAAATGGAGGGTTCAATGTATTTGAATTATTGTGGTAATCAAAATTTAGAAGGGTAAGGTTCTCATTTCTTTTATAATCATTTATTAAGTAGTCATTGGTACATAAAACAGGTACATAATTTAATTCACGTCTGTACAAGTTTTTGGCGCTAAAATCCAGCCGAATACTTTTGCCTAATATTCGGCTATTCGGTCAGGGGCCTCGCCGAATATTCGGTATTCGGTATACTGCCGAATATACTATTCGTTGCAAGACTATTTAATACTATTTGTCTATGTCCTAATAAGCGATAGCTTTGCTGCGCTATCAGAAAATCGTCGAGGTAGACTAGTATCCGTATACCTTCGTGTCGTAGTCTCGGTTACCCAATTCGTTAACATTGCAAAAATTCTGGGTGCTGTATTGAGGTTGTACTCTTTAGGTTAAAAATGAGCTGAGCAGAGCAATCGGTCTCGGTTGGAATCACAACACTATTGACAGAAAACTTGGCGAGAGTTTTACTTCCTCTAGCACATGCTGCGCCTCCATTTGTGAAATGATAGCTGACATCGCCTTGGATTGCTTCGTTGAGAACGAGCTTCGTAGATTGGGTAGCATGAGAGGTGGGTTTTTGATAAAAGGTACGCTATACTCTCTTATTATGCGAAGCATGATCGATATAGACTATCAATTGCCTGCTCGGAAGTTCTGAGAGTCAGAACTTTCCTCTCTTACCTCCCTTGTAATATTCGCTGGTTCTCCTGCTCGGATCTCGTTTGTTTTAATTATGGTTAGCTCCTCGTGATCGAAAGGATCCACTAGTGTTGGGGTTAGATTCTCGAACTATTCTTCTGCCGGACTTGGTTCTATGCGAAGGCTGGTGATATTCACAGCTCTGCGTAAGGCTTAGCGTAGCATGCTAGATGGGTACCCTGAGGGGGTACGTAATGATGAGCTGACGCCGGCGAGGGATAGCGACTGGGGTTTTTAAATCCTGTTTCATTTAAAAATAGGTTTCCTGTCCGTCAAAATGACTGAATCCAACGAGTACTAACTAAATCCTAGAACCTATTTCGTTCATCCGTACCATTACTTATACCAATGTATTTTTGGTATTCGAACGTGTCGTTATATACCTTCCTTTGCCCAGATTATCAATAATAGAAAGTTACCCACATCCTGACTCGTAAATTCACTCACCAACTTAGAAATTTAGGAAGCATTCAAATAAAAAGTGAACTAACCAATAATATAGTTGCTAGTTGAGCTTTAAACCACTACTGTTATTGGTTTAGGTCGGATAGTTGTGATTCCTTTTAAGTGCTTATTTTTACGAGTTTACTTTCGCGCAGGAGAGTAGCGGCTCGGAGGCTGAAAGCGTAGCGCGAGAGAGCGTGGCGTGGGAAGGAGCGGCGCGGGACGGTGCGGCTCGGCAGGGCCCGGCGCGGGAGGGCGCGGCGCGGGAGGGCTCGACGCGGGAGGGCGCTGCCCGTGAGGAGGTGCGGGAGGGCCCGTGCGCCAAGCGCGAGCGCAAGCCCGCGCCTCGAGCGCCGGCCTCCAAGGACAAGCGGCGCGTGCTCAAGCGATTATGAGCCGAGCGGGACGGGGAGGAGGTCGGGTCGCTGCGGTTCGGCGGTTCGACGCTCGCCGGGCGCTCCGGGGCGCGACGGGCGAAGCGAATGATTGTGAATAAATATTACTGTAAAATTAGTGTTCTTTTGCCTTCCGCGAGTCGCTCCGAGTGTATTTATTACTTTAGAGAAAATTGATGCACACGATGCTGTTACATAATAAGTAGGTTACTTGTAATGTAATTATGAAGATTTGTATTAGTTTAGATTAATTGATACCATAGTTATTTTAAAAAATAACGCGTTTTATTTCGCCCAGAACTGAACATATTCGAACTGATTGCAGTCACGAAACGTTTAGGCGCAGAATGTCCAATATAAGTAGTTTGGTTCGTTGTCGTTCGCAATACTAACCTATCGGTGAGAGCATAAAATTTTACAAAAAAAATTTGGCTTATTTACGAAGCAATTTTAAAGAATACTTTATTATTCCTGGTCCAATTAAAAAAGCTAGATACTTTGTGTCTTTAATGTAAATTAAAATTGATCTTGACAGTGTATCATTAAAGTTAATATTTTAGAAGATATTAGAGGTTTAAAATACGAGGGCAAAGTGGCCGACCTGGAAGGCATCGGCCGGCAGGAACGGAGCGGTATTATTACTAGCGATCCACCTCGGCTTCGCACGGGTACAATGTAGATGCTACTAATGTGGTGTCGATCGTGAAGATAAAAATTGTTACAGAAGGAGGCTCTATGTTCCACTATATGTATTTTTTTAATGTATGTTCACCGATTACTGCGTCAATGCCGATGCCGATGCAGAGTCACCATACACAGAATGAATCCAATTCATCTTTGATTTGCGTAGGCGTATTGCCTTTCAAAAACAAATATTTAATGACAGCTCGATACTCGATTTTGTCAACATCACACACACAACGTCACACATCAACTCACTCAAACGACTGTTACATAACAACTGCGCGTCCAAAATGGCTGAAACTTTGGCGAGTAACTATCCACAGATAAACAACGAAATTCACTAGCTTTTAGTCACGAGTACTGCCATCTTCGTGTTGAGGTCGGAAACTTTTCAGACCACCCTCGCAGTAGTGTGTAAACATTACATTAAGTTTTTTAGGCAATGTTGTCAAAAAATGTGCTGGGCATAAGGCATTTAAAAGCTTTATTTGAGTTAACAAATGCAATAGTCCTTACTCATCATCATCATCAACAGCCTTTAATAGTCCACTGCTGGACATAAGCGTCTTTTTAGAAAAGAGGACTTGGCCTACTATACCACGCTGGCCAGACGGGGGGGGGGGGGGGGGGGGTATAGGGTTTGTTTCAAGATTTCCTTCTCTTTGCAGTGCTGTTGTCTTGCATGGTTAGTTCCCTTAGTCGGCTCTTATGACACTGGATGTGTAGGGGTGGTGACACTCCGTATCCGAAATCTGTAAAGAATGGTGTCCGTCCGCAAAGCTGTGTGCACACTGTTTCTTCTGCATATCAAATATATGTTGCAAACTACGGGAGATGCCTTTTATACTGATCGCCCCAATATTTCTCGGGAAATTGTCATCGAGAGTCAAATCAAACTTGTGTCTCAAATTGAAACTGCCTTAGCGAAGTTTCAGATTGGGGTCAACTGAACCTAGTCCATTTTAACCCAAAAAGCTTCGAAGAAGCTCGGTGTGCTGAACACCACAAATTATCGTCTGCGGTATTTCCGGACCGATACGTCCTTCAAATCTTCAAAAAAAGAGTGTACTCCTCCCTCAAAGGGCCGGCAACGCGCTTGTGACTTGAGTTACAGGCGTTCATGAGCGGCAGTAGACGCTTTCCATCAGGTGACCCGTCTGCACGTTTGCCCCCTCGTCTATAAAAAAAAAACCTCATCGCTGCCTACTGTAATGAGTGTTGTGGTTTCGATCTCCACATGGGACAACACTTTGTGTGAACTACAAATTGTTATTCTGAGTCAAACGGACACAAGGAACACCCAGGCGTTCCTTGTGTCCCTTTCATGTATGTTTGTAAAGTCGCGAGACAGGATATAATCCTTGTGAAATGAAATGATATTTATTTCTGCAAGTAAATCTTTTCAGATGTTGTTACAAGTCGGACTTTCCAGCTTTCCGACGCCGGCATTTCCTAAGACACGTTCTGGGGAGAGACGCCGAAACAAACTACAGAGGTGTCTTTTTTTTTAATACTCAATACTTTATTGCTTCCATAATGTGAATACATAGGTGACAACAATTCAAGCGGCAACAATCAATCCGTGTACAATGTTAAAGAGAACTATGTGAGTGTAGTATAGGGTCTGGGTTGGCCTTTTGAACAAACGACCATAGTTGTGAGTCGGCTCGTCCCTACAGACGGCATACGAGCCCCAGCCATTGTATAGCCTAACCGATATAGTCACGATATAGGTAACCCAGAACACGACACTACCGCCTGCAGGACACTTGAGTGGGCCGTGGAAACACTCAAAAAACCAGAAGGTTACTAAAATATGAACTAACATTACAAGCCTACACTATACTTACATTTACTCGTACATACTTACACAAAAACTATACAATTCAATTTCAAATAAACAAATTGAAAACAAACGAAAAATTAATTGAAGGACTTAAATTTGTTAATACTTTATTCATGAAATTTGCTTAGCATTTTATTGTAGAATCGCATACCCTGACATCGAAAACACTTGCTTACTTTTTGTGGTCTAGTCGGGAGTTGTCTTTCTAAAGAAAGCAAAGAAAGTAGAGGCACACCATTACCTAAGTGATATTTCTTCAAGATTCGTCACCTAAGTACTTAATCAATCGCCTAGGATTTGAGCAACAAGGAAAGGCCTATGTCCAGCAGTGGACTATCAAAGGTTGTTGTAGTTTTTAGCCGAAACACAACAATTAAGGAATGTTCCACTCCGTCAACGAAAAATAAAAAAGGGGGGTCGGCGCATGATAGGGCCTGGGTGGTATAAATGTTTTTTTTTATGATTTTCAGACGGGCGACTACCTTTACTTTTAGACACTTGTAACTCAAGAGACACTAGATCGTTGCCACCCTTTCAGTATACCCCCTCCAGAATAATAATTGTAAATTAAATGACCTGGTAAACTCACTCAATGAGGGTTTTCGATACTTTTTCTGCCACCAGACGGCGCTTCGTTTGCGTCAGGTCCAAACAGCTGTCAGATAGCACAGATTCTTACTGAACGTATAATTTTAAGTGCAATTCTATGTATTTGAAAGTGTTATTGAGTTTATCATGGATTACGACCAGAGAAAGGTTGCCGAACTGAAGATTGAGCTCAAAAAGAGAGGCGCAAAAGTTTTATTTGCACACAGAGGCACTGCACAACACTGTGGCATTTTAGAAAACAATATTTCTTTTGTAACGTTTTTAAGAATGACAATATGTGTTTTATACTACTGTGTATTGAGATCACAGAGATACTTAACTAATTTATTGTGTTGTTACATTTTCTCATTATGTAAGTGAACTGTATTGTTCTTTTTATGAGAAATAAATGTCTCTAAACCGAATAAACCAAAAAAAATATCGTAAAATACAAATCATGTATGTGTTTTGACAGGTGGTTAGACCTGACGCTACAGTGCCGCCATCTCACGTGGAACATTTCAGAAAACCCTCATTGATGAAAAGCTATGAAATAACTTTATTATTTAGCTTAGCTTTGATCAACGCGTTAAGGAAACTGTTGGGTACCTAAATGTGAGGCAAAGTCGAGGAGGTAAAGTGTCTACTGAAAGGAGGTAAAGTGACTACTAAAAACGTAAATTGCTTATATTAAAATCTGGCAAAACGGCATGTCCATGTGCCTCCCGTATACTTTAAAAGCGTTAAACTAAAGCTGGTTGACAAAAATACCTAGGTAACACTAGTCCTGACAGATGGCCTCAGGAGATGAAGAAGACATAGAGAGGGAGTAGGGCGTTGGAGACAATGTGTTAGTCGATGTACAGAATAAATTAAGATTAATTCGCTCTTTAACCGACTTCACAAACACAAAAGAGGAGGTCATCAATTCGACTGTATTTTTTTTGTATGTTTGTTACGCGATATCTCTGTCAATGATGTATATGGGTATACTCCCGAGGTGGTCCCATTACCACCAAATCAGGATCTGATGTTGGGATCCTAGGGACTATTGCTATTATAATGTTACCTGTTATATTGAGGGTACTTACTAACTTTTTAGTGCTCTTTGTCAGTATTGTTTGAAGTCGGTTCAAAATTATTATTTTTAAAATATTTATTTATGCATTTTATCGATCTTTCTACTGGAGTAGCCTGTGTGTAAAGTAAACTTGGCCACCCCACGACAATTTGCATATCCTATATGACAATGCTTTCAAAATATTCTTTGGCCTGCCGCGGCGCTGTGTGCCTCTGGATTGTTTTCCGAAATGATTCAAGGCGATAATTATTAAAACAATAGCTTCTATTCTACAGCGTCTGAGGAACGCCAACGACACCATTGACAGTCAATGCTATAAGGTGTGACTACCCTATTCGAAAACATTGGAAAAGGGTTATTAAAGGTACAAAAAAGGCGCAATTGTAATCGATACTAATAAAACTACTTATTATCAATAGTAAGCAAATTGTTACTAATACACGACACTGTGAACTGTATCACTGGTCTGATACAAATGATTATTATTGTTAGAACCATCGGTCACAGCTGCTACTGGCCACCACAGGCTACCACATACACGTTTGTCTGCTGTGGCTGAGATTGACACTGACGTGACCGTTACTATGGAGACCGGCGGGAAGGAGATTCTGCGCGATCCGTTCGTTCCCTTTTTTAAGTGTATAGCATGAGCTTCCGTGAGTACCTACCCAGAACGTTAAGTAACGTTAGTGAGAGAAGAGTGGAGTGTGGATTGTAACATGTTGTTCCAGCGCACGACACTGAGCGCACGGGAAGGGTGTCCTAGGAAATAGTCACGTACGTGCACGTACGAATGACATTTCAGAAGGAGTGAAGAGGTGGGTGCGGCGCTGCGGCCGCGCGTTCACGGCCGAGCTGCTCGGTACGGCGCTGCTCGTGTGGCTCGGTTGCGCCGCGCTGCTGCCGCTAACGGGGCCCGTGCCGCTGTCTTGTCCCGCGCTCGCCTTCGGCTGCGCGGTGCTGGCCAACGTCAGCGCGTTCAGCGAGGCGTCGGGCGCGCACATGAACCCCGCCCTGACCCTGGGGGCGGTCCTGTGCAGGCGCCTGAGCCTACCCATGGCGTTGGTCTATGTGGTGGCGCAGCTGCTGGGCGCGACGCTCGGCTACTACGGGCTGCTGGCCACGTCGCCAGCGCTCTTGACGGCGGGCTTGGGGGTCACGTTGCCGGGCGTGGGCGTGTCGCCGCTATCCGCCATGTTTATAGAGGTCGTCATTACCGGCGTGCTGATGCTGACGGTGTGCAGCGTGTGGGCGGCGGAGTCGGTGCAGCGCGATCCGACCGCTCCGCTCAAAATCGCGCTAGTCGTCGCCGGGCTCAACTACGCAGCGGTCAGTATTCGCAAACTTATCGACGGTTCCTGGCCCGCGAAGATTGTAGTCACCGTGGGAGAGTCAAATGCGAACGAGCTTTACACATTAATCTTAGGTTTTACCAGTCAGTTTTAATCTTCTTTTAATATTTTGTGACTCAACGTGGCACTTGCGTTCTGAGACGAATTTAGCAATCTTTCCACGAATTTTTTAGATTTACTGTTTTTTTTTTAAATTACTTCAAATAAGGAGGGGGTTCTCAATTCAGTTTTTTATGTTACCTCAGAACTCTTACATATATGTTTCGATTTGGAAAATTACCCCCACAAAGGGTGGGAAATTAAGAAATGAAGAATACAGTTTATCACTAATAATGTAGGCGTGGTGAAGTCGGTGATACTCTTTTAAAATTTAACTATTTAATTTGGTCGTTATATCGACAGAAGATAGGTATATGTTCGTAAAGAGCACGGCTAGGTGCTGGACGACTAGTCGTTTGTATCACGTTTAGCAGAAGGTGATTGCGTAACATGTGTTACATGCGGCTCCTGGCGCAGAGCCCCGCGACCGGCGCCGCCCTCAACCCTGCCAGAAGTTTCGCTCCTGCGTTTATGCAGGGCGTATGGACGCATCACTGGGTGAGTGTGTGATCTGCCTAAGTCAAGGAAAAAGGTAACAAAAATAGAACAAGTACTGAAATGTCCCTTTTTATTTCCTGGATAAGAACATACTTACCTAGATTACAAACGAGTAAGTTAAGTAATAACAGCCTTAATACTGTTACTGTTTTTGTCAAAGACAAAAAACCCTGTAAGTATACATTTAAAAATGAGACCATCACGACATTATTGGCGGTTAAACTGTTTGGTTACATTTTGGCCTACTTTGTGAAAGGAAGGAGACGATCTGGTGTCCCTGAATGTCTATTGAATGTTGAGAGTTAGAGATGCAAAACAGTGACTAACTAAGCTCGTCCGTAGGCAGTCACTATTTGGAGCATAAATCTGCTGCACTTGTTATAGTTTAGTATAATCAATAGCCAAAAAGATGGCTTCTGCTAACACACGTTGAGGATCCTTGGATCGATAATACAGTTATCATGAAAGTAATGACAAGTCAAAACAGTTATTAGAAACATCTTGCTCGTACATACTCGTATGTATACAGCTGACAAACCTTGCAGGTGTACTGGGCCGGGCCGCTGCTGGGCGCCGCGCTGGCGGTGCTGCTGTACCGCGCCGTGCTGACGTCACAGGGCTTCGAGCACGCCGCCACGCAAATCTAGCGTGCGGCCGCGCCGTCCACCGACCCCCTGCAAGTACCACGATACACTGCCCTTTGTGATTGTTTGTATGGGTTTATAATGTAACCGAGTTAAAAGAAATGAAGTTCTGAATACCGTTGAATTTTTAATATTTGTTATCTCAGACCTCGGAGACCCAGTTTTTTTTTTAATTTATTTTTTTAGAAAACATTCTATTACAATTGGTCATGGCGTAGGTTTTGTTAGATTCTCCAATTTAAGTAAGATTTCAATTGTCGAGATGAAGTAATATTTTTATTAGCTGACTCGCGACACTTACAGTGCGTGTCTTGTCCGAGCATCTGTGGCTCTCTTATTCCATGGGCTCCGTCGTGGTCCACCCCCTAGTACCTAAATCGTAGTCAACTCGGTTTTCGTACCGGTTCAACTTGCGCCAAAGCTGGTCGGTGCTGCGTCCACCCTTGGGCGACTTTTACCCAATTTGGGTAGACCCAGCGTCGCGACAAAACGGCTGTACACTGTACGGTGCACTGGTGTGGGCGGCGGCTCTGACCGTCCAGAATAGGGCATGCCTCTGGCTCCCTCAGAGGATATTGGTGGTTAGAGCCATACGCGGTTACCGCACCGTTTCGATGGAGGTGGCTTGCGCGTTGACCGGAACTCCCCCATGGGATTTGGAGGCGGAAGTGCTCGCCGAAGTATATCGGCAGACGGCTGAGTTCCGGGCGGGTAGTGGCAGTCTCCCCCCCCCCCCCAGTCGGTTATCGTCGAGTGGGTAGGGCGGCAGCCCAGGGCGGAACCTTTTCCTTCCGCCTGACGCAGGGCCTTTCCTGGCATGGTTGCTTCGGAAGGAATTGCTGCGCGTGTACAGGACGGGTTTTCCCCTTTGGTCGCGAGGAGGCGACATCCGCGTGTTCCGAACGTCGCCTAAATAGAGAATTTGCCAAAAGGTGGTACCATTGCAGGCAGGCGCTAGGAGGGGCCCGGATATATTCATAACAGCAGTTCTCGGATCCATCCCTGCTATTACAGGCGCAGAGTGGCACACCGCGTAGTTTTAGTCGGTCCGATTCCGACACACCACCCCCCGCAAACCCCGGTGGGGTGACGGCACGAGGGGGTTTCCACACGTAAAAAAAAAATTATGCACCTTCTTGCATGGACTTTGTTTTGTTAGTATAAGAACCTTCCTCCGAGCCTTTTCCCAAAACTAGGTTGGGTCCACTACGAAAACGGTCTACGGTCTTGTAGTTGTGGTGATTGTAAGTTCTGGACTGCTTCTGACCATCATTTAGGACAGAATCGGTTTAAGACAGATTCGCTTAACGACAGATTTATCAAAAGTTCGTCATTGATGATAATGTAAACACTTATTGCTCCTAATGGTAGGTGACTATTTTATATCAATAAATGATTTTATTCAAAAGATGACCTGTTAAGGTTAGGATAGAATAATTATATTCTTCAATAACCCAATTAAATAACGTAACATTTTTCAACGTGATAGGGCTTTGTCCAATGTTACACAGAAAATAGTACGCAAAAGTTAAAAAAATATGTGTTACGAGCAATTTATTTCTAGTCCATTAGATAAATTAGGTTGGGATTTAGATAAGGAAACCCTACGATGAATTATCTATCTGGATATCGAAAGAGAGATATTCGCACAATGAATTTTGCGTCAAATAATTATAAAGCGTAGCCGAGATCAATACTGTTGTTTCAGGTGTGCAAGCAGCTAAACCAATCAAGCAGTTAAACGTCAAAACCACGCACAACGTACCAACATGCCTGAGATGCCTGTATGGCTCGGTGTCGAGTTAAACGAACTCTGAATGCGTTACAAAAGACCGTTTGTTCTGTATCAAGTTACATGTAAAACTTACTCGCCCACATTTAGGTACCTACTGTTAACACTTGACGCCTAAATAAAATAAAGCATGTAAACGGCCAAGCTCCTTGTTCTGTATAATATAATATTATACAGGGTTACTGGGGAGTTGTAGTGGTCATTATTACTAATAGATGTCACTATGAAATATCCCAAACCTAACCATTTTGAAGATATTGATAAATTTTGATAAACTTAACAATAATAATTATTATTATGGTATTATAGACGAGCAGCAAACTTGCTGATGTTTCCACATCACTGCACTGGAGTAAGTTTGTGGTGTAAGAGTTCGCGTGTACATCATTAAACGGTTGTGTGGTCCAGTGGGTTGTGCTTTTCTAACCATTTATAAAGTTGGCACTTAAAACTGTTCACCGGAAGCTTGTTCCATTTGGCAACAACACGATTGTTCAAAGTGTGATAGGCTACCAGCGACTGTGTGTGAGTAATTCATTGTGAAGTTATGTTCCGTGATGAGTGTGCTTTCTGCTGGAGGAGGAACATGTCTTTGATATTCGGGAGATTACATCTTGAGCGTAGTATTTTATAGGTCTCAATAAGATCACCTCTCATCCTGCGATGTTTTAAGTCTTATGTCGCAATCCATACGGTATCTTAGTTGCTCGCCTTTGCACACTTTCCAGCAGGTCAACGTCTTTCACAAGGTACGGTTCCAAACTTGAAAACCGTATTCTAACAGAGGCCTAACATAAGTTTTATAAATTTTGGTGAAAACTGAAGGTGTCTTGTGTTAGAATGCACGTCGTATAGCATATACATATATAATAATTTTTTTCTTTTAAAATAAATCTATGACAGTTAAGTTGCAGATGTATTAAAAAGCATGTACGTAATGCCAGCTATCTACCAAGGTATTAGTTAGTAGTCTAGGATATTATCAAAATTCATGGAAAAAAACTTAGATAAAAGACCGAGTGTACTAAGAATTACCGTACAACCCGGTTTTATCAACAACATTAACATATTCCTCGTTTGTATAGGTAGTCATCTTCAACAGTATCAGAAGCACAAATCAAATCCCAGTTAGCAATAATTAGTCTAAAATAGAACAAAAAAAAGTTTTTTTTTCTATGAATTCTGATACTATCCTAGACTAATATACCTTGTTAGATAGCTGACAATACGTACATGTTTTTAACATATTTGCAGCTTAACTGTCATAGATTTTTTTTATAAATATAAATATTGCACAGAGAAAAAAAACAGTGATAGTCGTAAGAACTGACGACAGAAGTGAATATACGCGTCGCTGATTTGGCGTAACACGTCACGAGCATTTCGAGGTCATCGGTGACGCGAATCCATTAGTTTTTCCCCTACCAAAAATCGTTCAACACAGGCAAAGAAGTTTTCACTTCAAAATATAGAAATAAATATTTTATGTTGCCATTATCAACCTTATACTTGGGCCCAGTTTGTGAACTACAATTTTGGTAATGACAATTATAAATCAATCTATCAACGACACAAAAACAGTAAAAATAAATAAAAAACTAAACATAAAATAAATTGCATTAGGCAAAATTTCGGCAATTTTAATAAAAAAATCTTAGAAGTCCAATATCTTGAAAATGGTTTTTGATATGGTATTTCATAGTGAAATCTATCAGTAGTAATGGATGGCTACTATGGTACTAGAAATGCTATTTTAACGAAAATTTATTATTATTTAAATTTAAGTCCCCGTAATATACTATTTAGCGGTTACAAGTTTACTGTGCCTCAAACTAAAAGCCAACGTTCGGGCAGTAACGACTGTCGTGGGGGAGGGGGGGGGGGGGTACGAATAGTGTGCATGTTTGTGTGTAATATAACGTTCCTACGCCTACGTCTCAAGCCAGGCCGTAACTACTCAAAAATACGTTTTAGTTAAAAATCCCTGATTATCTTCAAAGGTTAAGTCCTCTGGTTTACACGCTGTTTATGTACATGTCCTAATCCGGAATCGGTAGGTTGAACTACTACGTGTTTTTGTATACAGCAAACTGTGCCGATGTCGAAAATTCTGCCAAAGTCGAATGTGTGATGGATTCGATAATAGCAATGTTATCATTATTATATGATTATGTGCGTATTAGTAGACCGTGGTGACACTGAAAGCCTGTCCAAATGAATGAAAGACGGAGAATCCTCGAACGTAAATCGAGCGCGAGTATCGAGATGTTAGTTTTATAATGTGAGGTTCAAATAAACATTTTTCTACTTGTGTTGTTGCACGAGTGCGCGAGTCCCCTCCATGAGCGAGGCCCGATTGCCTAGCCCGCCACCCCTGCTAGTTGACATTATGTTTATTATTGCACAATTACACATGGTCACACACACTCACGGTGGCGGCACAATAATGTTGTTGCCACACACCTTACGAAATCACGTTTGGCAGTATTCCTGATTTTTTTATACCTAGTTATTGGCAAGCAATTAGCGGCGTACTCAATAAGAAAATAAAGTAGCTTTGTGTTTACAGTCAGCTTGTGTCAGTGACGCGCTAAATTACTTAAATTATTTTCATTCGTCGCCACTCGCATTGGCCCTCCGGCACTGCCACTACACTTTTGTGAGCAGCAGCACTTGGTTGGTTTGAGAAATACATTACTTGAATAGTTACGTCTCAGAAAAGGACACACGAGTTGTTATAACTGTGTGTCGTTTTCTGAGACTTGTACTTCGTTCAATTATTTCCACAAATAATGCAAGTGTAGTCTGATAGGTACTCTTAGCTTGAACTCCGTCTAGTAGTTTACATCCTAGTTTGTTAGTCGTGCACCGCCAAGGTTAAATAAGAAGAAAACAATTTTTTTTTTTGAAAAAAATATAAAACTATAAAGTAACTATTATTGATGAGATTAGTGCACTAAGGTTTGTCGTTGAGCGGTATCTCTGCATCTTGAGGCTCGGCGGCGGCAGCGCTCGACCGGCTCGGCGTCAGCACCCACCGGTGTAGCAGCGCCGCCAGCGCGCCGCCCAGCAGTGGGCCCACCCAGTACACCTGCAACACGTCATAGGTAGCTCAAACTTCGCTATACTGTCTGGAGACTGATGTGAAAATATTTGCGTCCCTGAGACGTATACATGTATCATCACTATCCTCTTAGCCGAGAGACGCCAACTGCTTGACATAGGCCTCCCCTAAAGTTCGCCACAATACATGTATGCATAATAATAACGTAATAGCAAAGCTTGAACAAGCATTGCCTCTGTCTTGACTGGGGGAGTATTTATGCATTTCTCATATTCCATTAAACTTCTTTTCAAACTTATGGATAAGTAATAGAAAAACATAAATTGCAAGAACATTAAACTAGGGAATTATTCCCAGTACTTCCATAGTAGGCTAAAACCTTCTTTCTAAAAATAGGCCTATGCCCAACAGTGGATTGTTAAAGGCTGTTGATGATGATGACTTCCATGAAGTCAGTCCCACTTGGTACTAACCACGACAAGTAGCCCGCTCACACCGCGTAAATATGCCTTAGATAAACATCTCAACACATACTCACCCAGTGACACTCCCACATGTTTTGCACCAAAGCTGCTCCGAAGCTTCTTGCAGGGTTAAGACTGGCACCCGTGGCAGGACCCTGTCCCAAATACAGGTAGATATTATGAGAATGACGTATTAGTTTTGAAACTTTCAAGAAAAGAGAGTACTCTTTCCTAAAAGCCGGCAACGCGTTTGTGACTCATGAGTTGCAGACGTTCATGGCCGGCCATGGTCACTTTCCATCAGGTGACCCGTCTGCTCGTCTGCCCCCTCTGCCATAAAAAAAAACCGGGCTCTCATCGGAGCCTTACTTTTTTCGAGTCATGCAATAGGTGTTAAAGTCCATGTCCTGGTGGCCTCCCAAATTACAAAAAGGACATAAAGGCACGAGAATCTGGCTTGTTCGAGCTACTGTAGTCACAATCCCGCTACCTATCCGAGATTTCCTAACATTAATCTTAAAATTGCCAGGATTAAAATCTGGAAAAATAGAAATAAGCATATCGAATCAAAGAGGAGCTGCCAAATTGTTTCGTATGCATTTTTTTTTTATCGAACAGTTGCGATCACGCGGTCATCGGGTCGGTAATGCTGGGTCTGCAAGTCTACTGGTTGAAGGTTAGCAAGCTTCCAGGGTCACGGGTGTATAAATGAAGGTAGTGATAGTTTTCATAGCTGGCTAGAATAGAAAAGTTTTTAAACAATCATCAATAACGACAAAGTAGGATTTTAAATTTTTTAATACTTCTAAGACTCACCCCAACATATACTAAGCCGGCTATGACCACCCCGATCTTTAGCGGCGCAGAGTAGTCAGGTCGCAGTGGGTCGTGTGCAGCCCATATCCCACACACCGTCATTACGAGCGTGCCCGTAATGGCAGCCTCGGTGGCTACAGCGGCCAGCGGTGACACTCCGGGACCCGGCAACGTTACGCCTGTCTTGTTAAAGACTACATCGGCGGGTGAAGTCGCCACAAGCCCGGCGAAACCGATCACAGCGCCTACTAACTGGGCTATCACGTACGTGAGGGCGGGCAACCATTCTAACTGGCCGTAGATGAGCGCGGCCAGTGTCACGGCGGGATTCATGTGCGCACCGGACGCCGCTCCGAACGCGCAAATATTTGCCACAACCACAAATCCGAATGCGAAGGCAGGATGTGTCAGCTGCACGGAGGTGGGCCCCGCTATCGGCACCAACGTCGCACAGCCCAACCACACCAGCAGCGCCGTGGACACCAGTTCTGCCAGCAGGGCGCGCCACCAGCGCCGTACCCAAGCCCCCACTCCCGTTCCTTCATCTGAAATATCAATGTATCGAACATTAGGTCATTATACGTGTGGAGGTCGGGTTACTGCCAACGTTTATGCGAACTCAATCTGACCACTAAATACGTAACACGTCTAAAAGTATCGCATAACAGGAATTAATAAGTTAGATATTACAAGTACACGGTTTCACTTCAAACATCATCATTATATAGTTCACTGCAGGACATAGGCTTCTCCTTGGGAAGAAGGATTTGGCTTAATATACTACGCTGGCCAGACGAGTTGCTATAAATATGGTTTGTTTAAAGTTTTCCTTCTCTTTGCAGTTCTGTATTCCTGCAGATTTTGCAATCTAACTAAACTAGGCGCGAGGGGAGTATATAGACATAAACCATAAATTTCAAAGATCAACCACAAATGACTTATTTGTGTACCGTACACGAAAAAAGACAGTTATGTAATAAATAAACGTTTAAAAAAAGGGAAAAATAAAAACTGAATGAAAACGCTAAAATAAGTGTTACACTTAATAATACATATAATCGGTAACATTATGAAGACAATAGGTACGTGATAGGCTAGGTCAAAGAGGTTTTATAGGTCCATCGCGGGCGTGCGAAAAGCTTAATGCTGAGCAAAACATGCTAAACGAGACTAAGTTAGTCAGTCAAGTTTATCGCAACTCGGTTAGTCAATGCCGTGTGCCAAGTATCCGGGGACAAGTTATCAAAGGATTTTATGTAGAGCTTTGATAGAGCCAAAAATAATGGAGATGGAGAGACTGAAAATTGAAATCTTAGTCAGTCAGTCGTTGATTTTATATGAACCTCACGGCGTGTACACAGTTTTTTTACAGTAGGTTCATCTGATCTTAACTCGCCAATTCAAACAGAAATAACTTTTTAATAAATAAAATAAAATAAATAAAAAAGCCTTTTTATTTCCAGTAAATTTTACATTTCTTTAAAATCTATGTATGTGTTAGTTTTATTTAGTTTATTCTATGTTATTTATTTTTGTTTTATGTATTTATTTAGGTGAGTGTAAGTAAGTTTACTCTATCGGTATACACATATTGATAGCATCTCCTGACGCCGCCAGGGACTACACACGACATTCATTATAATTATGTATAATAACATGGGCAATAAATATGAAGAATATTTAAGTCGTAAAAATGTTTTTTTGGTTTAAGTAGAAAGAAACATGCTGTAGTTTGCTGTTATTAGTCTGCACCGTGCGTTGTGCGCGACCCGCGTTTAGGGTTGCCAATCAATATCCTTACTATTGTGACGTCACAGAATCTGTCGCAAAGACTTGGAGACAATAAAATGTACCCCGACATGACGGTATCATTCCATGTATAGTTGTGTATGCACCCACACATCTACATGTATATACATGTAGTAGTTTGATTAGTAGCCTTGACATTTCACTACGAATACAAGCTTTGGGTACATGTTGTTTTTGTTTTATTCTGTCTATTATATTTGTAACCTAGCATTCTAATGAATAACAATAAGGTTATCATAATCGGTAGGATTATTATCGGCAAGAGCTTTACATTGTTGGTACAGTCCTTTTTACAACCTGTGCAAACAGTTGGTGTTTTCCTGTAGCCGAGCGGTCCCCTAGGCGCCGACCAGACGGGAGTCGGTCGCTCGGCGGCCTTCGTGCCGAGATACTCATATTGTACCTAATACACTGATATCTTGAAGAGACGTTGCATGCACCTGACTCTCAGCACGCTACACGGCACTGCTATCCGCGACTGCACACAGCTCGACGTGCCCAGGCATATAAATCATATAGGTACACCAAATTGTAGTTGGTCGTGGCTACCAGATAGTTAACAGAAAGGCCATATGTATGCTCGTTTGTTTGAGATTGTACAAACAGTACCTAGTAGCGAGTGTAAACACCAGTTACAATCTGATGAACTTCGACTCCACTATTCACTAATTTAATTAACTAATGTTATGTTAACGAATCGCCTATTGTTACAAACCTTAGCTATGCGTTGGTAATATATTTAAATGTTTCTCGTACAATAGTGTGTTCGGTGCGGTACGTTGCGGTGCCGAGCTCGGCTTGCCCCAGCACTGGTACAAGAGACTTCAACGAAAGCCTTTCACAAACGGTACACAAGGAAACAGAACATCTTTTTAACCATTTAAACATTTCAATAAGGAAAAACTGCTATATTCGACTGTTTTTTTTGTGCACATATGTTACGTGATATTTTCGCCTGCGCGATATTTAGTAAACAGATTTGAATACTTTTAAAAAAATAAATTAGTCGCACTGAAGGTCGTCCTCGTTTGCATTTGAGTTAAATACCTTATAGGATGGGATGTTAAGGTATGAAGAATATAGTTTTAATCAATTTATCATGATTAAGACGCTTTACTATTGGTAAACTGTCTTTATGTGAGAGTGCAGAAACTAGCCCTGTTTGCACCTTCATACTTTTTGGACCCGCGCTCTCTCGACTTTCACTAACATTAACGAGTTCCAAGGGAAGACGAGTCTTTCAAGTGTTAATTTAAAGTATTTTAAATATTAACGTTACACAGAGCTGTTGTGAATCGAACAGAAGGAAAGGAGCCCGGGACCGCGTTGAATGGAATATTGGGAGGCGTCTGTGATAATGTGATGCGGGAGTCGGCGAGTGGCGTGGCGCCCATTTTGGTGATATTTATAAATGAGTGTAGGTAAAAGTGGTGGCGGGTACTGACCGTTGCGTGGTCGTGCCATATCCTCGTGAGCGGTGTGCGCGACGGCGGTGCGAGCGTGTGTCGCGACGCGGCGGGACGGACTGACAGTGCTGACAGGCGACAGCGCCAGCGCACCGCGCGCGTGTCCCGCCGCCATCGCGCCACCGACATCACTGCCACCGCCACCACCGCCACCACCGCCACCGCCGGCGCCCCACGCGCCGCTCGCCACCATTTAGCGTGCTCATTTTAGTGTTTTCAGGGGGTTTTAACAAACAACTACATTATATTCATTCAGGGCCTTTATCACTCATTGTGTTTTTTGTTTATCAACATTATCAAGGTAGATAGGAATCGTCAATTTAGACCTATGTACCTAATATCAATTAACTTCCATCAGCCGATTAATAATAATGTAACTATCACTAAGTAGGGATACATCTATTCGTCACAAAATCCATTTATCTAGGATATTTTTGTAAATACACACATGTGCGTATTCTTGGAATTTATGTGCAAATATATGCAAGAAGTAAAAGCACAAATAGTGTAATAGTGTGATGTTGTAATGTGAATGTAGTTATTTTGGCATTACATTCTTTAAGTGGAGTGCAATTCAAGGCGGCGTGTTCAGTGAGTCCCGATGCAGTCATTAGTCGCCGACAGCGACGATTAAAAACGTATCAGAAAGGAAGAAAAGAAGATATCCAAGAGCGTCTGTTCTCGAACTGAGAAGCGCTCCAACACACGACGTGGTAACGCGTAATTATAATAATGCTGAGAGTAACAATCCGCGAAATGCACAACAAAACATTTACTCTGTACCGCTCGTATTCGGTTTTTAGCTACTTGAAACTTATCTGTATTTCATTCAATAATGCGCAATAAGTCTTTACATTAATATGTAGATTTATACTTGATGTTATTTGGTGCGAAAGGTCTTGATCTTGACTTGCTAGTTTCGCGAAGTGTGTGTTGGTGTTACATCATTGTTTAGGTGTGTATCTACATATATAAAACTTTAAGGACAAAGAAAATATGTAACGCTTTTGAGGTAACTCTACTTTTGACTAATCTGCCGTAGGTGCAGTTCTCTGTGTAACGGGTTATCGTCTGCGGTATTTCCGGACCGATACGACCTTCAAGAAAAGAGCGTACTCCTTCCTAAAAGGCCGGCAATGCGTTTGTGACTCCTGAGTTGCAGACGTTCATGGGCGGCGATGGTCACTTTCCATCGTAAGGAGAGGCCTATGTCCAGCAGTTGACTGTTAGGGGCTCTTGATGATGATGATATAGCGGAGCGAACTTTTCCGTGTCAAAACCCATGACAAACACGTAGTTGCCTATTCAAATTCAGAATAACAACAGCGTACGTACAGCGTCTAGTGACAGACTGGGGTGGAAAGCGCCGCCTGCGGCTGAACGCGTCAAGTGCATATGACGCAATTTAAATAACCCTTGTGAGACACAAACCTGTCTCCACTCGTATCAGAATTATCTCTTCTACAGCCCGAGACAACCGCAACGGTAGACAGTTGACCGCACGTCAGTACGTCGACATCATGCGGTTTCATATCAAAATCAATGTGCATCGCATCACGGCTAACGGGAAGTGCGTTTTAAGTCTAGGACTAGAATTAATTACATACCATGGGTATTTTTTTTACATTATACTTGTTATAGAAAAATGCCAATGGACAAAATGACCCACTTAGGTACTTTATTAGTATACAAACTCATGAAATCACATGCTAAACGTAAAACGCGTCAGGCGTTCGACGCGTTAGTGGGTAGTCGCATTCCAAGCCGATGAAGCATTTCTCAACGGAGATAGTGGATTGCAGGGGCTGTTGTATTGGAACAGAGTTGAAACCTTAATTTAATGATTAACTTATTGTTATTACATTGTTTCACGAACTTGAAAAATTCTTTCTCTTATAAGAAAGTAAGTTAAAGAAGATATTTTGGAGGTAGCCATAACTATGACTTTGTAATAAATACTCAATCATATATTATACTCTACTTTAAAGCACCTACATTAATTATCTACCTCACAACATTTTTAAATAACCCTTGTGAGACAAGCACTGCTCCACTCGTATCAGAGTTATCTCTTCGACATTTGGGGTACGAGTATATTTATAACTATCAGAGTCTCAGATCACAGTCGGTAACATCAAACGTGACTGATTATTTAATGTTACACAGTTTAAACAAGTAATAATAAAAATAATTTATTGGGCCCTAAACGGGTCCGATGTAGACTTAAAAGCATCTACGACTTGGCTAAGGTATGGTTATCTCTTCGGTGAAACTGAAGGTTTTGTTTGTGCAATTATGGACGAAGTTATCATGACCATCAGGAATACTATTTCTGGTTGTTCTCGTCTTGATAACGGTGAATATTCGCACAGGCCCAACCAAGTAGCCATGATCATACACCAACAGCTTACCCTTAAATACCAACTTGTGAATCTAGAGGTGCCATACTACTGAATGGTCGGGCCACGTTGTATTGGGATCGATCTATTTTCACAGACAGGACTATTGTTGCCAATAAGCCAGCTATTGTGGTGATAGATCGATTAGAGCGTGCGCAATAATAGTTGATATCGCCGTTCCTCATGACGAGAATTTCGTAAAGGTTTAAAAAGAAAAAAAAGAAAATATTGGGTTTATCCCACGAGATTGTCGATATGTGGAATGTGGATTCGGCGATCATTTTTCCGATAGTCGTATCTGCTCACGGATTAATAGCCAAAAGCCTCGGCCAACACCTTAAGAGGCTCACGTTGGACGGATGGATCAAGGGTCTGATTCAGAAGGCTTCTTGACAAGGCCTGTATAGTGAGGAGGTTCCTGTGTTCGCTTGTGTATGCGCATGTCTGAGGTTCCTGTCTTTTGAGTCCGAACGACCGGTGTCTTGGTCCCTGTACCCGATGTCGGAGGTCTACTATTTTTTATATTTTTAAATATTTTTTTGTAATATATTTAAAAAGTAATTAATATGTATATAAATGTAATAAAGAGAATAATAATATTCTTTATTGACAAATATTGAACAATTATAACAGGATTCTGTGACACCCGCACTTGTATAGACTGTGTTGCGGGTGTCAGTGTCTTACCCCAATATATGTATTAGCAATAGTATTAACATCAATGTTATACAATAAGAAAGAAAAAAAAACATAGTAAATTAAAATTTATACAAAGAATAAAAAAAAACTCTACATGACATGATATGTTTGCATGTGTATGTATGCATGTGCGCTTGTGTATGCGCCTGTGCGCGCACGTGTTTGCGCGCCTGTGTGTGAACGCGGGTATATGTGTGTGTATACTTTGTGTATGTGTACTTACTTGTTTTACATCCTGTGTTACATAGAAATAATTAATTCCTTAACAAGTTTTCCATATAATGGTAAGCTATGGATTTTAACCACGCATATAAAACTAATTTGAATTTAGTATTATTAAATTTACGTACTTTAGTAATTTTGTTAAATTTATTATGCACATGAGGAGCCAAGTAATTATAGTGTCCCTTAGTCGATGTCGATTTAGAGCGAGGGCGGCGTTCTATACGCCTTTGTGAGACAGGTAAGTGAGGAACAACATTTATGTGTTTATCGTGTAGAAAACGTCAATTCCGTGTACCTACTTGCCCTACTACTGTGTAATGAGTTTAATGATGGCTGAGAGGTGTCTTTGTTGTTAAATCTAGAATGGGACCGAGGAGAGTGTGCAGAGCTGCATCGCCGCAATACAAGAGGGAACCTTTTTTTTTTTTTTGGGACTAATCCCACCCACACGCCCACCACTGTAACTCCTGTACACCAGGATCCACAGCAGTGACCCACGAACACACCGAGTTATGACACTCGGGAAGTCCCAGGAAGAAATTAAACTGTCTTGGAACCCGCAACGAAATTAATCAGAAGAAAATTGGAGGAGTTGGAAATACAGTAAATCCACTTCCCTCCTTAGCAAAGCGGGAGACAAAATGAAGTAAAATGGGCATACACCCTTTTAAACAGGGAAGCACCACGGCCACAAAATATTACGGGTCCTACGTGAGCTATATTTGATTTCTATAATATGTATGGCAGAATCGCCTAAACGCACGGAAATTCACCCTAGTTGACACAAGATCCCCATAGTATACCGCCCCAGATGTCACCTGCAAGGTATTCAGCATTATATTACGTTCATTATACCAGAGACTACATTCCCAGAGGATATGATGAGCAGACTGTTCATAGCTGTTCATATCTGTACAAGAGGGAACCGTGGGGTGACACGTGGGTGGCGGCGGCGAGAGACGAGCCCCCGCATACTGCGATACACCTCCGAACGCGTCATCACCACACAACACCCACACCTCACCGCCATTTTACTCAATGAGTACAACCTACTTTACATATAGGTACTGAAAACTTTACCTGCAAGCATGGCCTCCGCACACTCACAGCTTTCGGAAGTATATCACTGCACAACACTTGAACAACAATACTCGTAACAATTGATAAAACATTAAAGAATCTAGCATTTACCAATATACACATATCATGTGTACACATGTACCTTAAGACTATTTCGTTGTGGCCGAACACCGACATTCACTTACTTGAAAATATGTAGGTATATAACACCTAAAGATATTTTCGATAAAGTGGACCTATCAGATAAATAGCTACATGGGATTACATTACTTCAGTTTGTGATAGTGGCAGGACACGACAGGTGCTTAGTATAATTACTGTAGCAGTGCGCATGAGCACCACTTATCTGCGAATATTGTAATTGGCATCAATATGTACGTAACAGTGACATTTTGAGAACCGGGTATTGTCTTAGCAGAAGTTTGTTGAGTTGCAGTATTAAGTTATAAACAAATAGGGAACCAACCAAAATATATCTACAATCCTGCGACTAAAGGAAATGTGTGAGAGTGTTAAAGCAGCGCGGGGAGGGATGTAACTAAACTTACACTTATGTACACACCCGCGACCGGGTGTTTAGGAGTACGGCTGGTCTCGTCGATAGCGCTCTAATCGCGAACATTGGCACGTCAGTTATTTCGCCATGACACAACCAACAATAACATCTGTTAAGTCTTAAAATTCAAACGGAACAAGTAAACTAATGGTTCGATGACGCACTCTTCACGATACATATTAATTTTGACGCTGACCTTCGGTCGTCGGGACGCAATACACTTACATTGACAAA